GTTGCTCAATCGGTGGTACAACTTCTGGTTCTTCAAAATCAGTGGAGACGATCTTCTCTTTACTGACTTCTTTGTTGTTCCACGTCCATGTCTCTTCCTCACTGAAGATGACATCTCTACTAACCACTAGTTTGCCAGTTAGTGGGTTGTAGAGCTTGTATGCCTTGGACTCTTCACTATAGCCCACAAACACACATTTCTCACCTCTATCATCAAGTTTCCTCCTCTTGGCTTCTGGAACTTGAGCATATGCAACACACCCAAAAATTCTTAGGTGTGTAACATTCGGCTTGTATCCACTCCAAGCCTCTTGTGGTGTCATCCTCTTGACACTCTTTGTTGGACATCGATTCAACAAATAAATCGAACAAGCTACAGCTTCTGCCCATAACTCTTTTGGCAAATTCTTCTCCTTAAGCATGGACCTTGTCATGTCAAGGATGGTTCGATTCTTTCTTTCGGCTATCCCATTTTGCTGTGGGGTGTAGGCAGCAGTAAGTTGATGCCTAATTCCTTGCTCCTTGCAGTATGCTTGGAAAGCATTGGAGGTGTACTCTCCACCTCTATCTGATCTCACAGCCACAAGCTTGTGGTTACTTTCTGCCTCTGTGAGTGCCTTGAACTCCTTGAAAATTTTTAGGGCAGCTGACTTCTCCTTGAGAAAATAGACCCAAGTCTTTCTACTGAAATCATCAATGAAGGTAATAAAATACCTATTTCCTCCATAAGACATGGGATCCAATGGACCACATATATCTGTGTGCACCAACTGCAGTGGTGCCTTTGCTCTCCATGTATCACCAACAGGGAACGATAGTCGTGCTTGCTTGCCAAGCACACAACCTTCACATACTTGGCGTGTGGCTTCAATCTGGGGTAGACCACGAACCATTCCTCCACTTGACAGCAACTTTAGGCCATTGAAATTAAGATGGCCAAATCGAAGATGCCATTTCCATGACTCATCTTCCATTACACCGATGTTGCAGCTTCCAATCTTTGTGTTCAAATTCAACGGAAACATCCGGTTCTTTGACATTCGAACACGTGCAATAAGCTTTCTCCTTGCATTCCTGAGAGTGAGAAGCATGTTCTCCATATGTATAATGTACCCTTTCTGGAGCAGTTGACCAATGCTCAGAATGTTGCTCTTCATACCTGGTATGTAGTAGGTATCGGAGATGTATTCTTCTCTTCCATCCTTCTGGATGATCTTGATCTTCCCTTTGCCTTCAACTGGCAACTTTGAGGAGTCACCAAGACTTACAGATCCATAGGCCCCTTCTTTGAGTTCGGCAAAAAACTCCTTCTTTCCACACATGTGATTGCTTGCACCAGAGTCCAAATACCAAACATCTTGTTGGCTACTGGAATCATGGTGTGCTAGTAAGACTGTAAGTTCTTCATCGGTATTTCCACTTGATTCTGCCATGTTGACATGCTCACCATTTTTATGTGAACATTCATTGGCATAATGTCCATATTGCTTACAGTTGTGACACTGGATATGCGCCTTTCCTCGAGTAGATCTCCACTCCTGAGACTGACCTTGATTTTGTGCATAGCCTCGACCTCTGATACCAATTGTTGGTATTTGACAGTTTACTAACTCAATACCAAAATATGTGGGTGATAAGTTTACAAACTCTATCACACCTCTTTCACTTTGCACTCTCAAATAAAATTGGACAAAGAAATAGAGAAAGGAGGGAAGCAACAAGCTTTGATAAAACACTTGGACTTTGATATATGAAAAGAGAGTTTACAAACTCTATAGCTTACAAGCTTAAAATGAGAATGAGAAATGGGATTTTGATGGGATGATTTACAATGCTTGAGAACTTGGGTATTTATAGCAAACCAAATGATTAAACTAAGATTATTTATTACCACACAAAACACATTAATTGCACCTAATAATTTTTATTCAACCATACCTAACATTGCCTAACTTTCAATGCCTAACTTTGACATTGATTTTCAACAATAGCAACTTGTTTTGATTTGAATTTCCAACAAAATTACCAGGAGAAGACCACACCAGTAGTTGGATTTCACTATTGAAATTGCAAGACTTGCTGTTATCTTGCATTCTTAATTATTATGTATTGGTTAGGTTGAATTTGTCAGTGAGTTCCCATTGTGATTTTTTTTTCCCGTAACGAGTCCAGGGTTGGACAATGCTCCAACAAAGCAATTAGAGTCGTCATGTTATGCTTTGTTTCCGAATTCAAGGAAAGGAATAAAATATTTGAAACAGTTCAGATTGCATATCTTATTCATTCCGGCTTTCAGATATGAAGGAAACACAACATGAGATAAACCTAGCTTATATGTGGTGAGATGGTGCTACTGGGGAGCTGCTCGAACTAGGGAGGACGGGGTCACTTCCAACTGACCCACGTAACCACCAATAGAGACCAATTAATAAAACTCTACTAAAATGATCGAATCTGGAAAAACAGACAGTGGATTCGGATTCAACACGTCGAAAAACCTAAGGAGGGACCTTGGGTTCCCCCATGCGTCGCTATGGGGCAGCTGCCCGGGTCATCACGCGCCACCCCACACGCCGCCAATAGCCAAGATGGGTCATCGGAAAATTCGCCGGCGCCACTGTGGAAGGCGGAGGTGCGTGCACTCTATATAAGGATTTGTCCCTAAAAATTACGATTTTTTTTTTATAATTTTAAAATATAAAATTACGAAAATGCCCTTCAAGGCAAATACGTTGACTTTTGTTGACCACCTTATCATGTCATGTAAGACTCTTTTTCTTGGCATATCCTCGTAGTACTCATCGCTACAAACGCGTGGGCGTAAATGGAATGTAATTTAGAATTATAACGAAGAAGTTATTAACAAACGAAGTCGAGGGCAAAATGATCATTTGACCATAAATCTGGAAGGCTCCAGATTTTGTTGGAGCACAATCTGGTGCCACATGTGTGGCCAAGATGGAAGGATGAGAGGAGAAATGAGGGAAATGAGAGTGATGGACGAAGGAGAAAAAGAGGAAATAAGAGAAAGGAGGAGGGACTGCCCAATCGGGGAGAGAAGGGAAAAATAGTGAACCAATGAGAAAAGAAAGAAAGAAGGGAAGGGAGAGAGAAAACATGCGCTGGATCCTCTTGACCTATTTCAACCTGCGATCTGACCCGGTTCCTGCAGCAATTTCCGATGCCATTTTCGGCGTTTCTCCGACGAATCACGGGGAACCACCACCACAAATAAACTCGACGCCGTTCTAGCTTCCATTCCCACCTAAACTAGACAATTGTTAGTGGTGATTTCACAATGAACGAACTTCATCTTCTCCAGAGCTCCACGGTAGCGATCTGCCGTTTTTATGTGTTATACCGTTTATCACCACCATCGAACAACTTATCTCAACCCCAGGAACAGAACCCATGCTGAGATCGAGGCGTTGTAGGTCGTTTTTCTGTTGAATCGAAGCACACCCTTTATAGGGTTTTTGGCGGTTTGTGGTAATTTCAGGCCACTTCCCTGCCGAATTGAACTTCGGCCCAAGTATGCAAGTTGTTCCTCTCATTGAGATCTACTTGCCTGTAAAATTTGGTAATTTTTTAGAGTTAGTCGAAAAATTGGGTTTCCGTTCGCCCGAAACCTCCACTTGCGACGACGCGTGTGGTGGCACTTGGCCTTTCGGCCATCATCCCCTTGACGGCTCATGCTAAATCCGATTTCGCTATCTGTTTTCCTAAATTCGACCGTCTTAGTAGAGTTTTACTAAATGGTCTCTAAGTGTGTTTAGGTGCATCGATGGATGTGATCTGGTCCTCGTTAGTTGAGCGGCTCTTGGGTAATAAAATAACTGTAAGTGGACCCCTTCTTAACTTATATGTTTTTATAAAATATTAGCCTAGCATGCATTACACATTTTATGATTTGAATAGTCATATCATATAGGAAGTATAAGAAATTCGTGTTAGGATCGTGCCTCTAATATGATATAATTGAGTGAATGAATGACTTTCAGCATCGGACCGGTACTCTGCGTCATCCGTTCCCTAGGAATAGTAGGCAGAGTTATACCTGTTGAGAGATTACTGAAAATATCCGAAGTTCGTGTTGGAGAAAAATTAAGAAAGCATCAGTTAAAGACCGAATCAATTTTCCTTGGGTTTGTTGTTTTCATTGAATGAATTCATGGGGACCTTTAGGAACTGGGTTGGGTCTCGGGTCGAAATGAGTCAAAGGGATCCAGTGCATCTCTTTTTTCTCATTTCCCTCATTTCTTTCTTTTCTCATTGGTTCACTACTTTTGCCCTCTATCCCCGATTGGGCAGTCCCCCATTATTTCTCTCATTTCCTCTTTCTCTCCTCCGTCCATCACTCTCATTTCCCTCATTTCTCCTCTCAGCCTTCCATCCTGGCCACACACATGGCACCAAATTCATGCTCCAACAAAATCTGGAGCTTCCAGATTTATGGTCAAATGACCATTTTTCCCTCGACTTCGTTCGTTTATAACTCTTTCGTTATAACTCCAAATTACGTTTTGTTTATGCTCACGCGTTCATAGCGACAAGTACTACAAGGATATGCCAAGGAAAAGAGTTTTACATGACACTATAAGGCGGTCAACAAAAGTTAACATATTTGCCTTAAAAGGGCATTTTTGCAATTTCACATTTTAAAATTATAAAAAATCATAATTTTTAGGGACAGATCGTTATACTCCAAGTGCCGCCCAAGATAGTCCCACGCGTAGCCTCACGTGCCGTGAGTACAAGCGTACTCGCCTTGTGTGTCTTCAAAGCCTTGTGTGTATTCAATTTCCAGTTGAACAATTGGAGCCTGAATACATATGTATGTCTTTAAAGCCTTGTGTGTATTCAATTTCCAGTTGAACAATTGGAGCCTGAATGCATTTTCTTAGCTTTATGGCTTAAGGTGCTTGATCAACACGAAACTTTGCTTTAGGACTTATTTCCTTGTTAATTGAATTGTGCATGGTTTTGTATCCATAGAGAAAATTTTGCTTTATTGTTTCCGTAGGAATCATTCTTCTATCTGCTTATATAACATTAGTAATTTGGTTTGTTTTGCAGATATGTATGGCAGTACAAGATATTGTTGCTGCACTTGTACTCTCACTTAGGTGCCCTTTCGTTGGCATATGAGTGGTAAATAACAATTATCTAACCTTGGAACTTATTATGCTAAAAGAATACTGTCATTGTTGGTCCAATTATACCATGCCAATCACTTGCTGATTAGTGGCTATTACTGGGCTTTATTGTTTATGTTACATTTACTAAATTTTTGTCAGTGCCTTACTTCTTTTATTCTTGTTTAGGTTCAAGTCATTGGATGTGAAAAATATCTTGATGGAAACTGTTTCACACCATATTTTACCCCAAATGTTGGTGTCTCCCCTATGGGCAGATTTAAACTATCTGCTCAAGGATTATCTCAGGTTTATGGATGACCACTTAAGAGAATCAGCAGACCTTACATTTCTTGCCTATCGTCATAGAAATTACTCAAAAGTACGCAATGTATTTTTCATTATGCATTTTATTTAACTACCTGATCTCTCTCTCTCTCTCTCTCTCTCTCTCTCTCTCTCTCTCTCTCTCTCTCGATACTTAAATAAATGTTATATTGTGAAAACCAAGACTTTTTATTATATTGAACTATTTTTCATTCCAGGTAATTGAATTTGTCCAGTTTCAAGAAAGACTGCAACACTCTAATCAGTATCTAGTGGCGAAGGTTGAAGGACCCATTCTACAGTTAAAGCAGAATGCAGATAACATTGATGATGAAGAGGTAACTTTTCTTTGCAATTTTTCGTTGAATGCACGTTCTTTCATATGATAGCTAACATGTTTATGTTTATTTCTTTTAGACTGTTCTTGAAAGCTTGAAATGTGGGGTTCACTTTGCCGAACTCTCTAATGAGGTTGGATCCAAATCTTTGACCTTCAATGAAGATTTGCAGTCTCGTCCATGGTGGGCACCAACTTCAGAAAGAAACTATCTTTTAGGTCCGTATCACATGACCAAATCTCCTACTTTAATTAATAGGCATTACAACTTTGCTACAAAAAATATGAGCAACAGTTGTTGCCATGTTGATACATTGCATACCTGGAATGGAATGTTTAAGTATTGGATTTACGTGACTAAGGGCAATTAATATTTCTCCAATCTTAATTCTAGTGTCTGATTCTTGTTCAATTTTTGAAGAGTAGAGCATTCATTTCTATGTTTTATATATGTTCTGCACTCGATACTAAGGTCGTGTTTTCACTTCTGATAATAGTTTTGAGAACTGACTTGAGATTTATCAATGGTGTCAGGTCCTTTTGAAGGAGTATCCTATTGTCCGAAAGAGCACTCGGTATAAAACTGTCTTGTACTGTTGTACAACTAATATGTATTTTATTGATGGTGATTTGGAGAAGTTGATTCCATGAAGTTACCCTGTGTCAATAACACCCTACTTATCTATTGAATTTTCTCATTGCCTTCTGTAATATAAATTTTTCTTCTGCTTGTACCGAATTTAGGTGAAAGAAAGGGAAGCAAATGTAAGGAGAGTTATTGAGAGGAAGTCTCTTCTTCCTCGGATGATTTATCTATCCATACAGAATGCTTCGACTTCACTCAAAGAAAATCTCGAGGCCAATGGAAACACATCTGACCCTAAGGGCCCCTCAGAACTTAAGAGTTTGCTTGAGCGCTATGCAAAAATGTTGGGGTTCACACTTAATGATGCTGTAGAAGTGGTTTTGGGGGTCTCTAGTGGCCTAAAGTCGTTTGAGGTAGTACTATACTCATTTTGGCATTTTTCTCTCCATATATTTGTGATGTTAACAAAGATGAAAAACTTAAGCATAGTTTTGTGAATCTCCTTATTTATTTTGAAATTTGAAGGAAGTAAAGCCAGGAAAGTTTCATTAATCAAAAGATTTGCTTAATTCCGGCGAAGATTTGCACCCATACGTTGACAGTGTATCCGACGACATTGATTGACCGGATAAAGTAACTTTTGTTGCAGGTCTTTGGTGCGGACTTGATTGACTGGATAAATTTTTCTGTGTTTCTGAATGCATGGAACTTGAGTTCCCATGAAATTGGTCAAGCAAATGGTGATGTGGGTCTGTCTCGAGCATGGCACTGTGTGGGTTCGCTGTTGGAGAAGTACGTTTCGGAGAAAGTTAACTCGATGGAGACTCTAATTAGCTGTCCTTGGGTTGATGTCCCAGTTCTGGTGCAGTTGGTTACAGAACCGTTGGCCTGGCATGCTCTTGTAATTCAATCTTGCACTCGGTCATCTCTTCCGTCTGGAAAAAAGAAGAAGAAAACTGGAGTTCCAGATCATTCTTTTCTGTCCCATATGCAGGATTCAGTCCAGTCTCTGCGTAATACTCTGGAAAAAGTTATGAAATGGTTAAGAGAACAGATAAACAGGCCAGAGGATGAAAGTTTGGAGACATTACTGTCCTCTTTGCAGAAGAAAGGACAGAACGAAGGCCCTGGGCAAGTTTTCCATATTTTAGAAACTTATATCTCATCCGTAAATGACACAGAGATCGGTGATAGAATCTCCCGAGCATTGAAGTCTTGGAGTCCTCCTGATGTCGCACGAAAGCTGATAACTGGGAAATGTACGGTGCTGTCTGAGTTTCTACGGATCTGTGAATCCAAGCTAAAGTTGTTGCAGACATTGAAACAGCAGATAGCTCAAGTCTGAAGAATGATTGTCAAAGATAATGTGATGTTTCATGCGCTGTTCAATTTTTCGTTATCCAGCGAGGGAAGAGATTGAAGGAGATGGACGTTTCTCTTGTCGGTAAAACTTTCCTACTGTTTTTTTTCTTTTTTTTGCGGTTTTGTGCCGGCGGTGGTTCTGTTAGCAGTTGTGCTGTAATTTTTTTGTTGGGCAGTGTACACAGGCTTGTAACTTTAGTAATTTTTTTAGGCACAATATTTTGGACAATGTATCCTCCAATTTTTGTTTTCTGGTATTTCTTCTCATAATTTGTCAAGCATTTTGTGAAATGTAGTTGATCAAAGTATTGGATCTTTGGTTCATGTCGCTTCTTGTGATTCAGAATATTTTTTTTTTTTCCTCTCTTCTGCGAGTTAGATTAATGAAGCGTATTGATGATAACAGTGACAAAATGTAGTGCCGATGATAATTTAAGGCTTGAGTTTTTTTTGAAAAAAGCACTTATATTCAGAAGCAGTTCTTGTAAAAACGCTTCTATTAGGAATAAATGGAAACTTTTAATAAATAAAAAAAAAAGTGCTTAAAAAAAGAGTGCTTTCAAGAAAAGAAAATGTCTAAATATATTTTTTTTAATACAAAAGAACTTTTAATTTTTTTGGTCAAACATGGTTCCTAGTTACATCTCATAAGAACATTTCTAATTGGCTGGGAGCCTCCAAGACAGATCTTCTTGGTACATTGAATGTCTGGACGGTGCCTGCTTCATCTCAAATCAATAAGAATTAATTAACACAAGATTAACTACTCTTCATGCGAATTAGTGCCTTGATTGATGCTTTAAACAAATACTAAACACTTTGAAAAAAACCATCAAAGAACTATTCAAAACACTTTTAAAAAATAAATACCATCAAAGAAATGGTCGTGCACGTTGACAAAAAACCATCGTAAGAATGGGAAAAGGATCCTCGCTTGCCGGATCCTTTTCCTAGGATACGGGATCTTGTAATTGTGTCCATTCATCGTATATCGTGTTGTCAGAAATAATTTAAAATTTAATAGTACTTAACGAAAATTGACCGCATGATGTACGATAAATGAACATGATTACTAGATCTCTAGGATCCTTAAGAAAAGGATCCGGCAAAGATTATTTTCAATAAAAATTGTCCATACACTTTTAAAGTGTCAGCTGACTTGGCCTTTTTTTTTTTTTTTTTTTTTTTGGTATAGTCCACTAACTTCGCTTTCGAACATATTATTTTTAATCCTTTTGGTTTTCTAACAAGTCTTAATTTTCAATTGTTTGTTTTGTAGACTAATCACTCGTAGAGAGTAATTCTAAACTTATTATATTTTTTATATCACATTTGTACTACCTCTCTAATATAAGTAGGGCTCACCAACATATGGGGTTCTATGATGGCTAATAATTTATTACACGACATGTTAACCTGACATGAGACGACACAAAAGTAACAAGTTTCGGGTCAACCCGTTAACGATTCGGATCGTTATCGAGTTAGTAGTTAAGAACTCGATATCGTTTGCTGGATCAGATATTCGACGTAACAATTTCTTATACAATTCGTTGACGGATAGGGTAACTTGTTTAGAACCCGTTAAAATAACGAGTTTAACACGACACGATATGTTAAGATAACAAGTTTGACACAAAAACGACAAGCACTCCATTAGAAAAGTGGTACGAATATTGTATGAAAGATATAGTAAAAATATCATTTTTGCCTGTAAATACATCTCTTAGTAAGTTTGCCCGTTAGAGTATATATATTTCGTCGGGTACTCTATCGTAGATTATACGTAATGCAACAAAAATTATTCTTTTCTTCTTCTTCCTCCCTACCATATCAAACCAAAATTCAGCCCCCATTTAACAGTCCCTAGATAATTTATAGGTTTTGAAAAGCACAAGTGAAATAGCAAAAATAATTGGGTGAATGAGTCAATTTAGAATGCTTCAAAATGCCTTAGCTCACAAGGCATGATAGATGATAGATGATAATTGGGTGTGATCCACTTGCCAAGGATGGAGATGACGAAGTACAAAATAAGAACGACAATAAAAATTTCTTGTCTTGTTAGACAGTTTAACATGTTACGTTATTAGCTTCAGTCTAAATTGAGGATATAACGAAGGGGGTGGATATGTGGCACCGTATTTTTTACATAAATTTTGACACACATTTTTATGGGGCGTACCCCGTAATATATTTGATGATCCGAACTGTCTATCACCTACATCTGAAACCATATAACTGTTGGATTAAGCGCTTAGTGTTTTTTTTGTAGAACAATATTTGTCAGTTTCCTTCACTACAAATGAATGTCTTAATGAGTTTGAACTTGTCTAATTTTTACAATTATGATCTATGAACGATTTTTTTTTAAAAGATAGATGGTTCAGATTATTAAAATATATTATGAAGTGAGCCTCACAAAATGTGTCAAAAATTGTGTAAAAAAATCGTACCACCAATCCTCCACCAACAACAAAATAGTACACTCGACCGTTAATAGTTAACATTTTCTGACCACGAAGCTTTTCGATTGCTTGCATCAAGTAAAGCATAACTCTCAATCCCTTCATAGATTTAGTGAAGGCTTATGACCTTAGCTCAATCCCTAATAAAATAAGGCACTAATAAGAGTCACCAAACCTTTGAGATGCTTAGCATTTTTTTAAACAGTTGACTGAGGAGGGATTAGTTGTGTCTTTTGTTTGTGTCCTGTCCGTTGTGTATGTGTTTTTTTAGGGCTTATCCGGGGGCAGTTGCTTTGGGGAAAATTAATTTTTGGTCTTCCCTTTCCCGCTTAAATATATAAATAGGTCTTCCCTCACAAGTCTAAGCTTACACTGCCACCAACAAAGCAATGGAGGCCTCCAAACTTACCCTTCTGCTTGGCCTTCTTGCCTTCCTCACTTTCTTAGCTTCCTTCTCTGCTGCAGAAGATCACTTCCATGAATTCGTTGTACGTATTCATTCATTTCGTATACATATAGTCGTCTTTGTATTCGCGTCCATGTTCATATTTGTGTACTCGTATTCGTAACGCCTTTGTTTTGCGCGTGGAAATTTCGAAATAGGTTGACGCGAGGCCGGTGAGGAGGCTGTGCAGAACCCACAGCAGAATCACAGTCAATGGCCAGTTCCCAGGACCAACTTTGGAAGTCAGAAATGGAGATTCCGTTGCCGTCAAAGTTACCAACAGTAGCGAAATACAACATCACCATCCACTGGTATTCATTCATCATAATTTACAATGCGTCTGAATTTTCCGCTGCTAATAAACTAAATCGTGGTTTATATACGGCTTAATGTTTGTCTAGTGTCCGTGCCAAGTTTATGTAATGCTTACTGTTATGTATCTTTCAGGCATGGACTGAAGCAGCAGAACAATCCATGGGCAGATGGTCCGGAATACGTCACACAGTGCCCTATCCAACCAGGAGCTACCTACACATACAGGTTCACAATCACAGACCAAGAGGGCACTTTGTGGTGGCATGCTCATAGCAGATGGCTCAGAGCCACTGTCTACGGAGTCCCTCATAATCTACCCTAGATTGGGTTCTCCCTACCCCTTCCCGATGCCAAAACGAGAAGTTCCCCTTCTTCTTGGGGAATGGTTTGATCGAAACCCCCATGATGTCATGAGGCTTGCGGCTTTCACAGGAGGAGCACCCAATGTCTCTAATGCATACACCATTAATGGCCAGCCTGGTGATCTTTACAGATGTTCCAAAAAAGGTTTGCTAAATTCCACCTGCTTAAATATGCAAACATAAAACGATGTATAATGTGTTGACATAAGAAAAATGGCGATGCAGAAACCATTCGAATTCCAGTCGTATCGGGCGAGTCACTTCTCCTGAGAGTCATCAACTCCGCACTCAATCAAGAACTCTTCTTTACCGTTGCCAACCACCAACTGACTGTTGTGGGCGCTGACGCATCTTACACAAAACCTCTCACAACCAGAGTTATCATGATAGGCCCTGGCCAAACAACCGATGTTCTGCTTACTGCTGATCAGGGCCCTGCTCGGTACTACATGGCTGCTCGTGCCTATCAGACTGACCTGAATGTGCCCTTCGACAATACCACCACCACTGCTATCCTTGAGTACAAGAATGCTGCTTCTTCAAATCAAGGTTTAGCACCAGTATTTCCTACATTGCCAGCTTACAACGACACAGCAACTGCTACTGCATACACTGCTCAGATAAAGAGCCTATCCCAGGTCAAAGTCCCCACACAGATTGACGAGAACCTGTTTTTCACTGTGGGTTTAGGACTTTATAACTGCACAGTTCCCAACAGCCCCCGGTGTCAAGGACCAAACAACACCCGCTTTGCAGCTAGCATGAACAATGTTTCCTTTGTATTACCAAGAACCAACTCCTTAATGCAAGCTGCCTACTATGGTGTCCCCGGTGTCTTCACCACAGACTTTCCACCTGTTCCTCTTGTGCAATTCAATTATACCGGAAATGTACCCCGGGGGCTATGGTCACCTCGTCGTGGAACGAAGCTCTACAAGTTGAAGTATGGTGCTAATGTACAAATAGTGTTTCAGGACACAAGTATTGTGACTACTGACGACCATCCTATCCATCTTCATGGGTACCAATTCTACGTGATTGGATCAGGATTTGGAAACTACAACCCCAGCACAGATCCAGCAAGATTCAACCTCATTGACCCGCCACTGAGGAATACCATCGGAACAGGTCCAGGAGGATGGGTAGCTATACGATTTAAGGCTGATAATCCAGGTAACATGTTAATCTTGTATCCTAAGCTTTCTTCTAACCTATATTTGTTCACTATTTTGATATCTTTCTACTTCTTGATCCAATTAGGTGTCTGGCTGATGCACTGTCACTTAGATTCACATCTCTTCTTGGGTTTGGCTATGGCTTTTCTAGTAGAGAACGGAAACGGACCATTACAGTCTGTAATTCCTCCTCCACCAGATCTACCCCGATGCTAAATTACCAGGAGAAGACCACACCAGTAGTTGGATTTCACTATTGAAATTGCAAGACTTGCTGTTATCTTGCATTCTTAATTATTATGTATTGGTTAGGTTGAATTTGTCAGTGAGTTCCCATTGTGATTTTTTTTTTCCCGTAACGAGTCAAGGGTTGGACAATGCTCCAACAAAGCAGTTCAGTTGTCATGTTATGATTTGTTTCCGAATTCAAGGAAAGGAATAAAATGTTTGAAACAGTTCAGATTGCATATCTTATTCATTCCGGCTTTCAGATATGAAGGAAACACAACATGAGATAAACCTAGCTTATGTGTGGTGAGATGGTGCTACCGGGGAGCCGCTTGAACTAGGGAGCACGGGGTCACTTTCAACCGACGCACGGAACCACCAATAGAGACCAATTAATAAAACTCTACCAAAACAATCGAATTTGGAAAAACAGATAGCGAATTCGGATTCAGCACATCGAAAAACCTAAGGAGGGACCTTGGGTTCCCCCACACGCCGCTATAGGGTGGCTGCCTGGGTTATCACATGCCACCTCACGCACCACCACGCGCCAAGACGGGTCATCGAAAAATTTGCCGGCGCTGCTGTAGATGGCGGAGTAGCGTGCACTCCATATAAGGATCCGTCCCCAAAAATTACGAATTTTTTATAATTTTAAAATGTAAAATTATGAAAATGTCCTTGGAGGCAAATACGTTGACTTTTGTTGACCGCCTTATCGTGTCATGTAAGACTCTTTTCCTCATAGTACTCGTCACTACAAACATATGGGCTTAAACGGAACATAATTTGGAATTATAATGAATGAGTTATTAACGAACGAAGTTGAGAACAAAATGGTCATTTGACCATAAATCTGGAAGGCTCCAGATTTTGTTGGAGCATCAATCTAGTGCCACGTGTGTGGCCAAGATAGAAGGATGAGACGAGAAATGAAGGAAATGGGAGTGATGGATGGAGGAAAGAAAGAGGAAATGAGAGAAAGGAGGAGGGACTGCCCAATCAGGGAGAGAAGGGAAAAATAGTGAACCAATGAGAAAAGAAAGAAATGAGGAAAGGAAGAGAAAAAACATGCACCAGATCCCCTTGACCTGTTTCGACATGTGACTCGACCCGATTCCTGCAGCGATTTTTGACGCCATTCCAGCATTTCTCTGGCGAATCATGGGGAACCATTGGAGGTCGTGACATAGCCGGAGTTGGCCGAAAAAAGGTGTCTGAAAATGGCCAAATGGCCACGATCTCGAAATCCAAAACGCACGGTGCTCCATCTCGAGGGTTTCCCTACGTTCTCAAGTGATTAACACCTAACGCTACCCTAATCAAACACTAACACACTATCTAGGGGTTCTATGAGGGCTTACCTTGGCCAAGATGGTGGAAACTCACCAGAGAAGGGTTGCATAGTGCAGAGCAAGAAATGAGCTTAAGGGAGGTGTTTCTTTTTCAATCATGGGTCTTGCAAAGGTCATGGGGGATAACGGGGTGTCTTATGGTTGTTGGGTAGTTGAGTGATCGGGGAGAGAGAGTGACAGAGAGATGAGAAAGGAAGAGAGTGATGAGGGAGATGGTTCAAGAGAGTTCACCAGGAAAGAAAGAAGAGAAAAGAGAGAAAGAGAACTAGGGAACCAAAAAGTAAAGATGGGCCCCACATGCTCACCAACCAAGGGAAGAAAAAACGAAAAGCAAAACTATCTCGTAAACGTAAAATTACCAAAATACCCTTAATGCATCTAATTTCATAAAATTCACGTTTTAGCCCCAAATTCAACTCCCCATATGCCCACACGTTCCTAATGACGAGTACTACAATGATACACCAAGGAAACGAATCTCACGTGACACAACAAAAGTCAACATTTTTCACCTTTGATGGCATTTTCGTAAATTCACACATTCAAAATTATAAAAGCCATACAATTAGGGACAAGTTATTACATGTATAATGTGTTTGCATATACCTGCATGCGGTTGTCTCTAGGGGTGGGTTTGGAAAAACCGAATACCGAATCGAAACCGAAACAATCCGAACCGAAAAAAAAAATTCGAACCGAAGTAAAAAAACAGAACCGAACCGAAAGTTATTGTTTTGGTTTCAGTTTAGGTGATTCAAAAACCAAACCACCGAATTAAATATAATTAAGTTTATTTATTTTTTTTAGTATTTGAGTGTTTATATTCCAAACCCAATTTAAGTTTACACCCAAGTTTTAAGATTTTGTTTTAGACCAACCATTAACCCATAATCCAAGTCATATTTCTTGTTCCCACCCAACCTTTTTCTTTCTTCCATTTTTTTCTCCCCATCCGACCCTCTGCTTTCTTTCCTTTTTTTCTCCCCACCCGACCCTCCCTGTATCTTCTTTCTCTTTGTTTCTTCTTGCATCTTCCTTCTCTTTCTCTTTTTTTCTTCCTTTACTTTCTTCAAAATGGAAAAAACTGTAAGCAAAATTGTAGAGCATATACCACTTTTCAAATTAAAAAAAAAAAAAGGTTTTATAAAAAAACCGAACTGAACCGAAACGAAATCGAGTCGAAAAAAACCGAATCGAAATTAAACCTAATCGAATAAAACCAGAAAAAAATTAAACCAAACTGAAATTTCGGTTTGGTTTCGGTTTGGCAAAAAACCTAACCGATTGAAACCGAACCCACCTTTAGTTGTCACTGCTCTAGAGGGCAGTAATGACACGCTCAACCCTGATATCCTTCATATACTAGGGTAGGCACGTTGTGACATCCCACATCGCCCAGGGGAGTGATCCTTAAATGTATATTCTCATCCCTACCTAGCACGAGGCCTTTTGGGAGCTCACTGGCTTCGGGTTCCGTAGGAACTTCGAAGTTAAGCGAGAAGGGGCCTAGAGCAATCCCATGATGGGCGACCCACTAGGAAGTTGCTCGTGAGTTCCAAAAACAAAACCGTGAGGGAATGGTAATCCCAAAGTGGACAATATCGTGCTACGGTGGTGGAGCAGGCCCGGGAAGTGGTCCCCCCTGGGCCGGGATGTGACACACATGCTAGCAGACATCCGAAGGTGACGAAGCTATACTAACATGCATGAGAACAAAGAATATAAATAAAATATATAAATTTAAATATAAAGAATATGTAATTAAGGAACATGTTCAAAGCATACAACTAATCTAGGACACTACAAGAAATAATAAAATTGCATGAACAAGGGATGGGTCCTGCACTAAGAGGATTCGAAGATGTCGATGCGGGAGTGTCTTGACGTCGAGATTGTACGTCTCGATTATAAGTCCTGAGGGGGCACAAAAAAAACATTAAAGGGTTTTGGGTCAGTCAATTGGGCCGACGCCGAGTCCCAAAGGCCGGGTTGGGGTTGGGTTTTTAGGCTTGGCCCGTTTCTCGCTGGGGATTAAGACCAGAGCCTTCATAGCTACGGTTGACAACAAACCAACTCCCTAGGGCACGATCAAAGTATCAAAATGAAGAGTGAGACAAGGGGAAAAGTTCCATACCTGAAACTCATCGTGAAGTGGCTGAAGTCGGCTGGGTTTTGACTCAAAAGCCCCAGGGTTTGCCGGAGTTGGGTTTTCTTCTTTTTCCTCATCGGGGGGTTAATGAGGTGGTAGAGGGTGGTGGTGCACGGTGTCGTCTCCATCGTTGTTTAACTCTAAAAGGGTGTGTGTGTGGGTGTTAGTAGTTCAGGGAGAGGGAGAAATATATGTGAGAGGGAGATAAAAGTGATTGTGAGCTAAGAGAGAGTAATGCGGGGAGAAGAGAGGAAAGAGATGGGGGTTAGGGAAGTTGCCACGTGGCAGCCAAAGAAAGGATAAGAGTTAAAAGGAATCCAAAAAAGGAGATCCGGATTGGGTAAGGAATAAGGGCATAAATGTAATTTCATATTTCTTGTAAAAAAAAATGAAAATTACAATTCTTTTGGGGGTAGGGTTTCACAATCTACCCCCTTTAAAAAAATTTCATCCCCGAAATTATAATCTCAAATAAGCAAATACGGATACTGACTCCTCATATGTTCTTCTAATGCTCGTGTTGCTTCCTCGACTGCATGGTTCCTCCACAACACTTTCACTAATGGGATGACTTTATTCCTCAGTGTTTTATCCTGTCGATCGATGATCGCCACAAATTCTTCAACATAGCTCGCATCCTGACTGAGCTCTAATGGCTCTGGTTGAATGACATGGGAGGGATTCGGTACATACTTTCGAAGCATGGAGACATGGAAAACGTCGTGAATCTACGACAATTCTGGTGGTAGCTCCAATTTGTAAGCAACTGCACCAATCCTCTATGTGACCTGGTAGGGGCTAACATATCGAGGACTTAACTTGCCTTGCTTACCAAAATAAACCACACCCTTCCTGGGTGACAGCTTCAGAAAGACAAAGTCTCCAATCTCATACTCACGATCCCTGGAATGTTGGTCAACGATGCTCTTTTGTCGATCTTGTGTCGTTTTCAGATTCCTCTTAATCAACTAGATGTCAGTGTTAGTGGTGTCAACAATTTTTGGTCCTACTAACACTTATTCATCAACCTCTGTCCAACATAACGGTGTCCAGCATGTTTTCCTGTACAGTGCCTCGAAAGGTGCCAAGTCGATACTGGAATAATAGTTGTTGTTGTAGGCAAATCGATCAATGGTAAGTTGATATCCTAACTATCTTTCCATTGAAGAATAGACACTCTCAACATGTCCTCCAAAGTTTAAATCATCCTTTCAAATTGACCATCGGTTTATGGATGATAAACAATGTTATACAACAGCTGAGTATTCATGGCATTATGGAGCACTCTCCAAAACCTGGAGGTGAATCTTGGATTTCTGTCCAAGACAATGGTGATAGGTACACCGTGGAGTTTAACAATATTATCGATGAACAACTTTGCCAACTTCTCAAGTGTGTAGGTCTGTCGAACAAGTAAGAAGTGAGCAGTCTTGGTGAGTCGATCCACAATCACCCAAATGCCATAAAACCTCGATTGTGTCATCAGCAAACCACCTCCTTTGCCTCAAATTCAGCTCATGCTAGGTGAAGACATACTTCAAACTCTTATGATGCGGCACAAGTAATGTCGCCAGATTTTTAGAGCAATGACCACTACTTCGAGTTACAGATCATGAGTGGGATAGTTTCTCTCGTGATTCTTGAGCTGCCTGGAAGCATAGGCGATGACTTTCCTATCCTGCATCAGAACACAACCCAATCCTGATAAGGATCCATCACTGTAGATTTCAAACTCACCGCCATCGTCTGGAAGAGCAAGGACAGGGGTGTGAGTAAGACGTTGTGTTGAGCTCCTGAAAACTCCGTTCACAATTCTCATCCCATTCAAATTTGACCCCCTTTGGGTCAACTTAGTAAAAGGCAGAGCGATAGGTGAGAAGTCCTGCACAAAACGTCGGTAATAGCCAGCTAGCCCCAGAAAGCTCCTCACTTCCGTAACATTCCTCAGTTGCTCCCATGTAGACACTGCCGAAATCTTCTGAAGATCCACACTAATTCCCTTAACAGAAACCACATGTCTCAGGAAGCTGATATGGTCTAGCCAAAACTAACACTTAATGAACTTTGCATACAAATGGTTCTTCCTCAACCTTTCCAACACCAACTTCAAATGTTTCATGTGCTTAACATTACTCTTGGAGTATATCAAGATGTAATCAATGAATACAATTACAAACCGGTCAAGATACCATCTGAACACTCTATTCATCAAATCCATGAAGGTTGCTGGTGCGTTGGATAATCCAAAAGGCATGACACGGAACTCATAGTGCCTATACCAAGTGCGGAAAGTAGTATTCAGCACCTCTTTGTTTCAGATTAGTAGCTGGTGATAACCCAAACGAAGATCAATCTTAGAGAACACCTGAGCACCCCTTAGTTGGTCAAACAAATCATCAATCCTGGGTAGGGGATAACGCTTCTTCACTGTCACCCGGTTAAGCTGCATGTAGTCAATGTAAAGTCTCGTCAACCCATCATTTTTTCTGACAAAGAGTACAAGAGTGTCCCAGGGTGACATGCTAGGCTAGATGTAACCTTTATCCACAAGCTCCTGAAGTTGAATCTTCAAGTCCCTTAACTTTTCCGGTGCCATTTGGTAAGGTGCCAAGGAGATAGGGTTGGTACTTAGAAGTAAATCAATAGTAAATTCAATTTCCCTCATAGGTGGTAACCCTGGCAAGCCCTTAGGAAAAACATCGGTGAATTCATTCACCACTGGCATATCTTCTGGACACAGAGAGGGTTAATCCTGTGTGACAACGTGAGCTAAGTATTCATCACAACCCTTCTGCAGTAACTTTGTTGTCTGGATGGCAGAAATGATATTATTATGAAGGATTTGTTGCTCACCCTGAAACGTGATCAATGGTCATCCAAGCCGATCAAAGGTCACAAATTTCTCCCTACATCTGATATAGACATTGTGCCTAAATAACCAATCCATTCCCAGAATGACATTGAACTCCACAATTTTGAAGGGAATCAAATTGGCTTCCATAAGTTCCCTTTCAACAATTACTGAGCAATCCCTATACTCACATTCTGCATAGAATAGGTCTCCATGTGGCATTTGTATAAACATATCATATCCAAGTGGGGTAGGTTGCTGGTTAACCACTCGTGCAAATTGTGGAGATATGAAAGAGTAAGTAGCACCTGGATCAATCAGAACACGAGACTAATTACCAAAAATGAGTAACATACTAGTAATGACTCTGGGATCCTACTGCGCCTCCTGCTGAGTCATGGCGTTGATACGCCCATGAGCCTGATGTCTCGATCCATTGTTACGACCGTCACGAGTCCTAGGACCCTGGTTGTTACGGCCCGCTCTGTTCCCCTAAGCACGATTGCTCGAAGCTACTCTTATAATAGGAAAACTGATGGAAATGAGTTGAATACAAATGAGACTTTTATAATAGGAAAACTAATGGAAATGAATTGAATACATGATGGAGAATACATTAAGCAATAGATCTATTAATTCAGAGAACAAACAAAGAGCCTCAGGCAAGATTTCACCTTGTTTGGCAAGGTTGAACTTCTTGTAGTTACTTTTCTTTGAGATTACAGGGTTTATACGCTAAAAAGGGATGGATGGTAAACAAGTTTGCACAAGGGAATCGATACTACGCCACCAAGGGAGGTAGCAGAGCTTTAAACTAGACAAAAGATGGCTTTTGTAAGGAATAATCCTGAAAAGATTGAGATCTGGGTTGATAACAATGTTTGGATGCAAATCTGGCTTGAAAGCAGAGTTTGTATATTTGTTTGTTTGATTGGTTGAGTGTCCTTATCTCTGGGGCCTCTTCTTCCTTTTATAGGCAAATTAGCCCGTTTGCTGTAGCTTTGTTCTTACCCAAAAGTAATTGGAGGGTAGTGAGTCATCAACTTTTTACTTGTATCTTTGACCTTCAATGAAGATTTGCAGTCCCGTCCATGGTGGGCACCAACTTCAGAAAGAAACTATCATTTAGGTCAGTATCACATGGATCATATCTCCTACTTCAATTTTTAGTCAGGAAAACTTGCTACAAAAATTATGAGCAACAATTGTTGGCATGTTGATACATTGCATAATGCATAACTGGAATGTACAAGTGTTGGATTCACAGAACTAAGGGCAATCATTATTTCTCCAATCGTAAGTGTCTGGTTCTTGTTCAATTTTTGAAGAGGAGAGCATTCATTTCTATTTTTTTAATACATGTTCTTGCACACCATACTATGGTCTTGTTTTATTTTGCGCCTCTTTTTCGCCTCTGATAATAGTTTCTAGAACTGATTCGAGACTTATCAATGGTGTCAGGTCCTTTTGAAGGAATATCCTGTTGTCCGAAAGAAAACTCGGTATGAAACTGTCTTGTACTGTTGTACAACTAATATGTATTTGGTGACTTGGAGAATTTGATTCCATGAAGTTACCCTTAGGGGTTGAGGCAATTTTCTTCCCCGTATAGCAAATATTCCAAGTAAATGATATAGGTATAAATGTTAAGATAATTAAGTTTGAATCCAAGTAGACTAACCTGGCTCTGATACCAAATGTAGGAACTATAAATGGTTAGTCTTCAACAAGGATCATAAACAACATATCTTACATATAACATTACAAGAGTTGGCATTAAAAAAAAAAATCAACCATACCTGAGAACCCATCTGTCCAGCAACACCAACTGAAAGACCTGGTGCAGGCTGTTTACTGGTAACACATAAGAATTCTTCTACTCACTCAAGACCTTACTGTTGCAATGGTGATAGAACCCTGATTACAGAACGTGTTCTTTGTGAGCAGGGAATCCCTTATTATATCGAACTGAACTTCTCCAACTTCCATCTATCATGACGATTGGATAGCAACTGCTATGAACTGCAGCAATCACGTCCCATATCCCTTAATTCTAGGAGATCAGTTATTGACATGGCCATGACTCCTAATTGGTTTAAACCTACGTTTGAGTATCCTTATCATGATATGTATAAGTTCCAAACCTAACAAGCAAATGTATGGAGACTTATCGAGAGGAAGTCTCTTCTTCGTCGGATGATTTATCTATCCACACAGAACGCTTCTACTTCACTGAAAGAAAATCTCGAGGCCAATGGAACAACAGCTGACCCCAAAGTCCCCTCAGAACTTAAGAGTTTGCTTGAGCGCTATGCAAAAATGTTGGGATTCACACCTGATGATGCTATAGAAGCGGTTTTGGGGGTCTCTAGTGGCCTAAAGTCATTTGAGGTAGTACTGCACCACCAGTTTTAATCTGTACTCTTTTTGGCATTATTCTCTCCATATATTTGTGATGTTAGAAGAAAAATGAAAAACTTGAACTTTTGTGAATCCCCTTATTTATTTTGAAATTTGAAAGAAGTAAAGCCAGAAAAGTTTATTAATCAAAGGATTTGCTTAATTCCTGCGAAGATTTGTACCCACTTGGATATGGGTGAGAGCACCCATAACTTGACGGTGTCTCAGACGACCTTGATTGACTGGATAAATTAACAGGTCTTTGGTGCGGACATGATTGACTGGATAAATTAACTTGTTTTTTTTTTTTTCGCGGTTTTGTGCCGGCAGTGGTTCTGTTAGCAGTTGTGCTGTAATTTTCTTGTTGGGCAGTGTACATAGGCTTGTAACTTCAGTAATTTTTATGGGCACAAAATTTTGGACTTCCAAGTTTTGTTTTCTGGTATTTCATCTCATAATTTGTCAAGCATTTTGTGAAATGTAGTTGATCAAAGTATTGGTTCTTTCGTTCATGTCGCTTCATGTGATTTAGAGTCTTATTTGTTTTTTGTGATTGTGAGTCAGATTAATGAAGAGCTATTGATGATAAAAGTGACAAAATATATTGCCGGTGATAATTTAGGGCTCGTCTGAAGTTGCTTTTCTTTTAAAAGACACTTATACTTAGGAGTAGTTCTTGTAAAAACGCTTCTATTAGGAATAAATGGAAAGTTTTAATAAAAAACAAGTGCTCTCTAGAAAAGCACCAAGTTTTTTTTTTTTTTTTTTAATTCAAAAGCACTTTTAACCTTTTTTGTCAAACATAGTTCTAAGCGTTTTTTATGATATTAAAATAGTTGAAGGTGTTTTTTGTGAAATGTTTTTTAACCCAATACTTAATAAAAATACAAGTAAACTTTACAAAAGCACTTGAACTGCTTCATACAAGAAGCATATAACTAGCTTCTTGCAAGAAGCACAAAACTAGTACTTCTTGCAAAGAGCACTTTAAGTGGTTTTAGAATCCAGAAATATTTTTTTAAAAGAGTTTTCTATCATTTTAAAAACACTTCTAAACGATTCATTAAAGTGCGTTGGTGATTTGAAAGCATTTTTGCTTATTTTTCCATACACTGCTTAGTTTAGTGGACTCAGTCTAAACTTTTGTACAGACCGTGAGTTCAAATCCATGAACGACGGTCAAATAACAATATGAGTAGCTCGTGTGAAATGGGGAGGATGCGTGTTTGATTGTTTTGTCATGTCCCGGTCTAGGTTTAAGATTAGGAACCAAAAAATTATGAAACATGATATGATTTCTCCAAAGTTGGTTGGCAGACTACCTAAATTCCTAATTACATCTCGTAAGAACATTTCTAATTGGCTGGGAGCCTCCAAGACAGATCTTCTTGATACATTGAAAATCTGGACAGTACCTGCTTCATCTAAAATCAATAAGAATTAACTAACACAAGATTAACTACTCTTCATGCGAATTAGTGCCTTGATTGATGTTTTAAACAAATACTACACTTTGAAAAAAAAAAAAACCATCAAAGAAATATTCAAACACTTTTGAAAAATAACTACCATCACAGAAATACTCGTACACCTTGACAAAAAGCCATCATAGAAATGTTCATACACTTTGGAAGTGTCAACTGACTTCGCTTTCGAACATATTATTTTTAATCCTTTTGGTTTGCTACTTTTCAATCGTTTATTTTGTAGACTAATCACTCGTAGAAGAGTAATTCTATACTTACTATATTTTTTATACCACATTTGTACTATCTCTCTAATATAAGTAGAGCCTACCCATGGCTGACCCAGGCCCAGTGCTGGCAAGATGACTGTCCGAGGCCTCAAATTATTAGGGTGGTATATTTGTATATGTTTTCATAAGAGTATAAATTTATAAAATTTGGTTCAATGACAAAGAAGTTCAACTAGAATTGGTGGTTTTGTTATTTGAAATTAATGAGGAGGTCTTGGGTTCAAAACACGATGTGTGTTTATTTGTTTTTCAATTTTTACAAATTTCGTTTCATAAGAGTATAAATATATAAAATTTGGCTAAATGATCAAGAAGTTTAATAGAATCAATAGTTTTTGTTGTTTAAAATTAACGAGAGGTCCTAAGTTCGAAATGCTAAGTGCATGTTTATTCTTTTCAATTTTTACAAATTTTTGTTTGGTTGTTAATTTATTTTAATTAATAGCTAGTAGCTATGTGGGTTGTTCTTTTTAAACATTTGTTCCTAATCTTCCACAAAGAGTAATGCGTTGACCAAATTTTAAGACCAAATTTGCAAATCATTTAACGTGTCATCAAAAAATTTAATTTAGTACCAATTTATTACTTATACATATCAATTAAAGACTCAAAAATATCATTATTTTTTTAGTCCCATATTGACAAGGTTAGTAAATAAGAAAAAACACCTCATGATTTATATAAAAACACTTTAAAAATTCAGATGGAAAACAAAACTCATATCTATCTACTTGTAAACTCAGAGTTTTTTTTTTTTTTTTTTTTGGTTCCTTCTCACGATACAAAATAAATTAGTTTTTCCTTGTTTCTAAATTATTAAGTTTGAAGTGTTTTTCTAAGTATAATTTTATCGATGTCTTACATGTGAAAACAAATAATTTCTTATATAAAGTGAGGGCACATTTTTTTACATCGCCCCGGGCCTTAAAAATCTCTAGACCGGCCCTGGGCCCACCAACACGTGGAATTTTATGATGATTGACAATTTATTGCATGACACGTTAACCTAACACGAAAAGACACAATTGTAACAGGTTTCGGGTCAACGCGTTAACGATTCAGGTTGTTATCAGGGTTACTAGTTAAGAACCCGATATCGTTTGCCGAATCAGATATGCGACATGACAATTTCTTGCATGACTCATTGACAAATCAGGGTCACTTGTTTAAAATCCGTTATGATAACAGGTTTGACACGATACGATCCTTTAAGATAACAAGTTTGACATGAAAACGACAAACACTAACCGTTTGTCAGGTCTAGTCCAATCTCTATTACAAAAGTGTCACAAATTTTGTATGAAAGATATAGTAAAAATAGCATTTTTGCCCGTAATTACATCTTCTAGTAAGTTTGCCCGTTGGAGTATATATTTCGTTGAGTACTCGATCGTAGATTATACATAAACGAGTTAATTGGTTTTCAATATGACCAAGTCGTTAGAAACCCTAATTATTCAGTGAAGATGGTGGAGGTGATGATAGGAGCAAGAAACTTGCTACTTCCATAGATGGACCCTCCTCCTCTTCCTAGGGTGGAAGTTTGTTGCATCAAATTCATAACGGAAAAACTAAACTAATGCAACAAAAAATAATTTTTCTTCTTCTTCCTCCCTACCAAATCAAACCAAAATTCAACCCCCCATTTAACTGTCCCTATATAATTTATAGGTTTTGAAAAGCAAAAGTGATATAGCAAAAAAAAATTGGGTGAATGAGTCAATTTAGAATGCTTCAAAATGTCTTGGCTCACAAGGCATGATAGATGATGGACAAGTGGTGGTGTGATTCACTTGCCACGGAGGGATATGATGAAGTATGAAATAGGAACGACAATAAAAATTTCTTATATTGCTGGACCGTGTAACATGTTACGTTGTTTGCACCAGTCTAAATTGAGAATATAACAAGGGGGAAGAATTTATGGCATCATTTTTTTTACACAACTGGACACGTTTTTGTGAAGCCCACTCCTTACTGTATTTTGACGATTTAAACAGTCTATCTTTTAGGTCTTCCCTCAAATATCACGTCTACTAAAAATCACCCACATCTAAAACCATATAACTGGTGGATTAAGCGTTTAGTGCTTTTTGTAGAACAATATTCAACTGTTTCCTTCACTACAAATGAATGTCTTAATGATATTGAACTTGTCTAATTTTTTACAAGTATGACCTGTGAATGATGCTCTAAAAGATAGAAGATTAAGATCAGTTAAAATATATTACAGAGTGAACCCCACTAAAAGGCATAAAAATTTATGTAAAAAAATGATATCACAGATCCGCCCCCAATAACAAAATAGTACACTCAACCGTCAATAATTAACATTTTCCGACCACGGAGCTTTTCGATTGCTCGCATCAAGTAAAGCATAACTCTCAATCCCTTCATAGATTTGGCCATGGCTTATGACCTTAAGCTCAATCCCTAATAAATCAAGGCACTAATAAGAATCACCAAACCTTTGAGATGTTAACATTTACACTTGACCGAGGAGGGCATAGTGGGTGAACCAAATCCCCTTTTTGGGTGGACTAATATGTCCTAAAAGATCTTCAGTGTCCAATGTTGACCTAGAAACCTAATTTACATAGGTAATTTCTCAAAATATTAAATTAAATTAAAATTAATATTTGTTCTTCCCTTTCCCGCTTAATCCAGAAATATATAAATAGGTCCTCCCTCACAAGTTTAAGTTCACACTATCACCAGCAAAGCAATGGAGGCCTCCAAACTTACCCTTCTGCTTGGCCTTCTTGCTTCCTCACTTTCTTAGCTTCCTTCTCAGCTGCAGAATTTCACTTCCATGAATTCATCGTACGTATTCATTCATTTTGCATGCATACAGTAGTCTTCGTATTCGCGTTCATGTTCATATTTGTGTATTCGTATTCATAACACCTGTGTTTTGTGCGTGGAAATTTCGAAATAGGTTGAAGCGAGGCCGGTGAGGAGGCTGTGCAGAACCCACAGCACAATCACAGTCAATGGCCAGTTCCCAGGTCCAACTTTGGAAGTCAGAAATGGAGATTCCGTTGCCGTCACAGTTACCAACAGAGCAAGATACAACGTCACCATCCACTGGTATTCATTCATCATAATTTACGATGCTTCTGAATATTCCGCTGCTAATAAACTAAATCGTGGTTTATATACGGTTTAATGTTTGTCTAGTATCCGTGCCGAGTTTATGTACTGCTTATTGTTCTGTATCTTTCAGGCATGGACTGAGGCAGCTGAACAATCCATGGGCAGATGGTCCGGAATACGTCACACAGTGCCCTATCCAACCAGGAGCTACCTACACATACAGGTTCACAATCATAGACCAAGAGGGCACTTTGTGGTGGCATGCTCACAGCAGATGGCTCAGAGCCACTGTCTATGGAGCCCTCATAATCTACCCTAGATTGGGTGTTCCCTACCCCTTCCCAATGCCAAAACGAGAAGTTCCCATTCTTCTTGGGGAATGGTTTGATCGAGACCCCCAAGATGTCATGAGGCTTGCGGCTTTCACAGGAGGAGCACCCAATGTCTCCGATGCATACACCATTAATGGCCAGCCTGGTGATCTTTACAGATGTTCCAGAAAAGGTTTGCTAAATTCCACTTGCTTAAATATGCAAAATTAAACGATGCATAATGCGTTGACATAAAAAAAAAAAAATGGCGATGCAGAAACCATTCGAATTCCAGTCGTATCAGGCGAGTCACTTCTCCTGAGAATCATCAACTCTGCACTCAATCAAGAACTCTTCTTTACCGTTGCCAACCACCAACTGACTGTTGTGGGTGCTGACGCATCTTACACAAAACCTTTCGCAACCAGAGTTATCATGTTAGGCCCTGGCCAAACAACCGATGCTCTGCTTACTGCTGATCAGCGCCCTGCTCGGTACTACATGGCTGCTCGTGCCTATCAGACTGCCCAGAATGCGCCCTTCGACAATACCACCACCACTGCTATCCTTGAGTACAAGAATGCTGCTTCTTCAAATCAAGGTTTAGCACCAGTATTTCCTACATTGCCAGCTTACAATGACACAGCAACTGCTACTGCATACACTGCCCAGGTAAAGAGCCCATCCCAGGTCAGAGTCCCCACGCAGATTGACGAGTACCTGTTTTTCACTGTGGGTTTAGGACTTTATAACTGCACAGTTCCCAACAGCCCTCGATGTCAAGGACCAAACAACACCCGCTTTGCAGCTAGCATGAACAATGTTTCCTTTGTATTACCAAGAACTAACTCCTTAATGCAAGCTGCCTACTATGGTGTACCCGGTGTCTTCACCACAGACTTTCCACCCATTCCTCCTGTGCAATTCAATTATACTGGAAATGTGCCCCGGGGGCTATGGTCACCTCGTCGTGGAACTAAGCTCTACAGGTTGAAGTATGGTGCTAATGTACAAATAGTGCTTCAGGACACAAATATTGTGACTATTGAGGAGCATCCTATGCATCTTCATGGGTACCATTTCTACGTGATTGGATCAGGATTTGGAAACTACAACCCCAGCACAGATCCAGCGAGATTCAACCTCTTTGACCCACCACAGAGAAATACTATCGGAACACCTCCAGGGGGATGGGTAGCTATACGATTTAAGGCTGATAATCCAGGTAACATGCTAATCTCGTATCCTAAGCTTTCGTCTAAACTATATTTGTTCACTATTTTGACATCTTTCTACCTCTTGACCAAATTAGGTGTCTGGCTGATGCACTGTCACTTAGATTCACATCTCTTCCTGGGTTTGGCTATGGCTTTTCTAGTCGAGAACGGAATCGAACCATTACAATCTGTAATTCCCCCTCCACCAGATCTACCCCGATGCTAAATTACCAGCAGAAGATGGCACTCGCAGTTGGATTTCACTATTGAAATTGCAAGATTTGCTGTTATCTTGCATTCTTAGATTTATTATGTATTGGTTAGGTTGAATTTGTCAGTGAGTTCCCACTGTGATTTCTTTTCCCGTATGGAGTCAAGAGTTGGACAATGCTCCAACAATGCAGTAAAGTTGTCATTTTATGATTTGATTCCGAATTCAAGGAAAGGAATATAAGATTTGAAACAGTTCAGATTGCGTATCTTATTCATTCCGGCTTTCAGATGATGAGTTGATAGCTCAAAATATGAAGGAAACACATCATGAGATCAACCTAGCTTCTATGTGGTGAGATGGTGCTAACTTCCCCAGAAGGTGCACCATGCAGTCTGCATAAAACCGTTCTAGAAATAAACTACGGCAACTCTTATGGTGAACAAGCTCCAGGAATGACGAGATATTAGTGTAAATGACGGTACACCTACTTCTCAGGGAGACTAGAACCAAAACAACAATATAAACAAGATTACAATAACTACTAACAACACAGTAAATGATAGTTTATGGATTATCAACATGTGTCAGCATAAAGTTCACTAAAGTTACGTATGTTGGTTCAAACCACTCACCAATCAGGCAAAAAACTTCAGACATCGAGTAACATTGTGTATATTCTGGCAACGACCCGAGCAGAAGCGCACCCCACACCTCACACATGTGTAGGTGGCAGCAGAACCACAAACAGTGCAGAAATGGCAGCGGGAGGTGGAGCTTGGTGGTCCCACTGCTGCCTTCAAATAGGAAGGAACATAAGGAGGCAAGGAGTCGAGATTTGCCTGTTTCCATGAGAAAAATTATATAAGGAAAGACACGGTCCTAAAAGAATACATGCAGAAAAATCCCTGTTACCTCATGTACAAGCTCCAGGAATGTTCTTGGGGCCTTCTTGGCCTCGAGAGCTTTTGCCTGCCGGGTTTTACGCTTGGTGCCCTTAGACTGCTTCTTTGTTATAAACACTGCAGCAGCAGTTCAAATTGTTATTTCTTTTCCTTTATACCATGCCTAAACAAGAATTCTTGAACAGCGAACAACCAGAGCTATTACTCACTACATTGAAAATTTTCCATTAATGAAAGATGTAAATCCATTGGAAAATAAAAAATACGCACGTCGGATGATAATTGCAGAAGGAATTTCCCAAACGTTTAGTTATTACTTTAACCAAATTCGACTGGAACGGAAAAACAATATCCCTCTAAGACTTAGACTACCTAAGCTACAATTGCCTTCGATAGACAACTTACTGAAATAACTTCAAGTGATGAGAGAGAGGGAAAGAGAGGTTGATCAGAATCTCTTCCGTTCTTACATACCGTTTGATGGCCATACTTAAACACCATAGCTAATAACTTAACGAGCATTTCCCAACCAGAAAGGCTTAAAATGCATATATTGACATCACAATGCACTTCGGTTTCAGATGCAAAATCATTCAACAGAATCTAAATCCCACTGTCTAATACAAGGTAATAACTTCTTTACGAAAATAAAAAACCAACAAGAACAGAGTGGTTAAAGAGAAGTTCCATGAAAAATTACAATCATCATCGTCGTTAACTTCTACCGTCTCCAAACCAGCATTATCATTTTCCAAAGCTTCAAGCCGAGCAAGGGCAGCCTAAAACACCAACCAGCATAACCCACCAACTCTAATATACTTATACAAATTCACAGAAAAAAAACAAAACAAAACAAAACAAAAAAAAAAAAAAAAAAGAAAAACACACCAAAACATATAAATACATGTGTGTTTGTATATACCTGCGTGTGGTTGTCACTGCTCTGCAGGGCAGCAGTCATTTTCGAAGCAACCCTTCGAGTTCGACTCGACATTCGGCGCAATGGGTTGGACCCATCGTCGTCCATTGCTGCAGGAAGAAGTTGAAAGGAGTCTCCTTTTCGAAAATTCGACTGATGGAAAATCGATAGCAATGGGCTTCGATCAAGAAAGCATGATTGGAATGAGTAAAACCTTTCTGGGTCGGATTAATCTGGAGCTCACTGTGAGTGGTTCAGCTAAAGTCGTCGACTTTTATGACATTAAGATTTGGGTAGTCGCTGACTTCGCAAAACATACCGAATATACAGAAAGAAAATTGTATCACCGAAGCTGTATCGAGAGAGAGAGAGAGAGAGAGAGAGAGAGAGAGGCGTTACTGCACAACAATGGAGGACATTGCAGAGAGTGGAGGTCCTGGAGGACTGGGGGGTGGAAGAAAGTGAGAGATTTGGGCTTAGGACTCCAATCGAAAGTTGTTTCTGTGTTATGATTTGTAACTGGACCTTGGAATTGGTAAACATATGCCCAATATTAGCAAATCCAGACAATTTGTATAATTATTCACCCAGAGATTTGATCAGCACATTCAGCATCTAAATTTATTATTATTGTTATTTGTTTGACACGTTCAAGGTTGTAGCTTAAGAGGTGCGGTATCTGAGTATACTTTCTCCCATTATCGCTTGAAAAAATACATGATGACTTCCATCATAATGTTCATGGTTTCATTTGGATGTATCTTTAATTGCAGTCAGAATTAGTTATCGATACTCTTAAAAAACTAATGATTCATATTATTGGGATCTGGCGCGAAGAATAAAGTGTCAGTTGTCGACTACCTGATGCACTCCCTTTTTTCTTTATTGGGCGTATTGTGAGATTGTTGTATGACACTAAAACTCAAGGAAAAATTTTATAAGACGACAATAAGGCCAGCAATGCTTTATGACATGAAATGTTAGGTGGTCAAAAAGCAACATATGCAGAAAATTAGTGTAGCGAAGATGAAAATGCTTTGTTGGATGTGTGGGCACATGAGAAGTGATAGGATTAAGGATGAGGATATCTCGGGTAAATTTGGAGTGGCCCCGATTGAAAATAAGATGAGAGAAAATCGGTTAAGGTGGTTTGGACATGTGAACCAAAGACCTACAGTTGATTTAGTTATAAGATACGACTACAAGATAGAGCCTCAGAGGGCAAAATGGGTAAAGAAAGACCTATGAAAACTTGGTAAGAGACTATAAGAAAGATATGGAGTATTGGAGCCAAAAGAAGATTTGATGCAAAACCAAGAGTAGTTGCATTCTAGAATTTAAAAGAAAACTTGATGCAAAACCAAGAGTAGATGATTCAGTTGTAAGAAATATATGGGTAAATAAAACTTCTTCTTGTTGTTGTTGTTTACTCTAATAAACTAATGATACGATCATTAAAGTGTAGTTCTTCCCCTATGTTTTCATAAGAAATGAGTGTCATATATGACTTATCGAGCGCTAAGAAGAGTTTCTTTGTAGGGAAGAGGATTAACTTTGTGGGAGAGTTGCAAATAAGCGCGTATGCTTTGAGTTGAAGTAGAATTACCGTCTGTATGAAATGAGTACATGATATGAAGTATCTATACATGTAATTAACATATGATACATCACAAAGTAAACATTCAAATGAGTACTAATTTTATTCACTCACCTAAACTCAATTCTACCTCAGCTGGTCCCTATTTCTCTTTCAAATGCAATTTTTCAAAGCCTGAACCTAGCTAATAATGAATACACATCTGGTTTATGAAATATCAAACCCTAGTTACCAACACCATGAAATTAACAAATCCTTCACCTTCTGAGTAGGGCTAGGGTTACATGCAAACCTTCCACTTGTACTATCTGACCCTTGCCCTCTCAAAGTCTGCTGTTGTACCACTAACACAGAAGCAGTACAACAAAAATCAAGAGAGGAAATATAGTCCCCAATTATTCCCAACTCACCATTCTCACTCCAACATGATAGCCCAGATAAAAGCACAGGATTGATCCCTTGTTTCCTCCCCACAATCCAAAGGTCATAATTATTTTCATTATCATCATTCATTGATTGAATGGCTGAGATTGTCTCTTCCCCATTCCTCACCACCACCTCTTTATAATTCACCCTCTCATTCCTCTCATTCTTCATCCAAAACCATGTCACAACCCCATCATCCAACTTCTTCTCCATCTCATCATCACCTTCAGAATTGTGTGAAAGAAACCGAATCACAGTCAGTGACACATTGAATTTTCCGGCCATCCTATCTGCATAACACAATGCCTCCCTAGAATCTGCTCCGCCCAAAAATAGCACGGCAAAATGTAGCTCGGTGTTCCTTAATGCCAGTTGGTTGACATGACCCTTGTCAACCAGAACTCCAACTGAGCAAGGTGCATGGGCTAACACATTTGAATTGACAGATCTAACCCCATGCCTCACAATTTCTGTTAATTGTCCTCCAAGAGTATCCAAACCCTCTTTATGAAAAGGCAAAATTATAAGTGTGGCCTTTTTCACAAGAGCTAGGTCACAAATGTCTTGATACATTGTTTTGTTTGGCACTATAGCTGTGAAGGGATGGAGCCTAACACACTCACCTTTGGTTTCTTGGTATTGCTTTAAGACATTGTGGATTGTGTGACAAACTGCATATTTTGAATCTTGCTCTTCCTGCTTTTCATGGTCCATAAGCACAGGACAAGCCCGGCCAACAAGGTCGACGAGATGGAGAGAAAAGATTACGAACGGGGTGCTTAGAGTTGGATTGGAGATTTCAAGAAGGTTTATGAGGGCAGCTATGCTATCTTCATCATATATACATAGGACTATGCGAAGTTCTGCTTCCTCCAGAGGAGTGTGCTGGATGGTTCTCCTTTTATGGACCATGTATGGCCTTGTTGGGTCATAGAGGATGCTGATCAAGGGCGTGGCTATTGCAGTCATTGTAGTGATGGATATCACCATCATTGTAAACCCTGGAATCGCCATTATCTGTGCATGTATACACACAGAACAGCGAGCAAGTGAGTTCGGATGAGTAGGATTATGTTTCATTTATGATTTTCTAGGAAAAGTAAAAATGATAAACCCTAAGTTCAAAAGTAATGTAGTTTGGATATAAGCTCAATTCGGTGTAGATAAATAGTTAAGGCTCTTCATATATAAGTTCATCAAAACTCGATCATAGTTGAAAAACACCAAACTGATGTGTAAGATGTTGCTTTCTCTAGTTTGATTCTTTTGTGCTTCTCACTAACATTATAGTACTATTTAGGTGTAAAATGTCTTGGCAACAAATATAATTAAGAACTTTTTTTATGCAAGTAGTGGAAGATTTCAGTCATATTTTTTTATCATCTAATCTAGCAGTTAATTTGTTGATTAACAATGTCATGTAATCCAAGAAGTACAAATTAACTGCCAATTTACCCGATCTTATGCTTTCTGTAAGTCCATTTAACATTTCTTTCATGTGTATGCCAATAACGTACGTTTACCTTTTTGTCCATCCAGTGGAGTAAAACCACTATCTCCACTTGACCTTTTAGGATCATCATGAAGCTGAGCGTAACACCATCTCTGAGTGGCAACTCAAAGAAGGCAGAAGTGATTAGTGTTCCAAGCAACTTGGCCACATAGGCAGTCGCAATGATGGCAAACAAGGGACTCAAGCTTGACCAACCAACAGAGCTCATGGCATTCACATTCACAGAAAGCCCAACCATTGCAAAAGAAAATGGCATCAAAACATCCACTATAACCATCTCACTCCTCTCTACAATTGTTGATCCAAGCGGAGGGCCATCCGGGATCGCGAAACCCAACCAGAACGCACCGTTTACAATCGTGATCCCAGAGATGTCACCCAAACATCCCATCACTAAAACCCCCAACAAAATCGACACCACATATGCTTGGTCCACTGGTTGCCCCTCTGGGGTGGTCTCAGCAACTCTCAACAAACTCCTTCTAATCACAAACACAATGAAGGCCACAAAAACAACCACAGAAATCAAGTACCATAACACAGCCAGGTGGTTGCCCTCACCTTGCTTAGCTGCCTCAAATAAAACTATTATACACCCTCCAATCGCATCGCTGATCACCGATATCGACAATGCCAGACGTCCGATCTCAGAGCTCAGAAGGTTGAGCTCTTTGAGGATGGCGTGGATGACAGGAAACAACGGTAGGGCCAAGCCGGAGGAAATGAATCCAAGTGAAGAAATTCTAGCTAGTTCTTTGTCCATGGACTTGCGCAAACTGAATGCAACAATTGATATAACTATGAAAGGGAGGAGCACTCCAGCAAATGCCATGTACAATTGTTTCTTATTTGTCCTTTTCACTAGTGAAAGGTCCATTTTCACTCCGGACAAGAAAAAATAATAAGTGAATCCAATTAATCCAATATTTCTCACTATGAATTTTGAATTTTTTGGAAACATAACTGAAGTAAATTTCTCGCTGCGGCCTAAAATTGACGGTCCAATGAATATACCACCCTAAACAAAGTAATCAAGTTAATTGTAATACCAAAATGATGAATTTCATACAACCTAGTAAAGAATTTATGAACTTTATAATGATGTAAATATATATAGGGTAATGTTAAGGAAACTAAATTTTGTAACTTAAGTGTTAATAAACGTGCTCATTTCCTATTGGTGACATATCATTTAGTTTGGAAATTTTGTTTACAAATTTTAATCTCCCTAGCATTACTCGTAAAATATATATACTTAAGGAGACCAAATTTTTAAACCAAAATTTGTAAACAAAATGATGTGAATGTTAATGATTGGATTATTACTTAAGTGTTGATTAACATACTTATTTTCTATTGATGATACATCATTTGATTTGCGAATTTGGTTTAAAATTTTAGTATCCCTAACATTATCCATATATTATATATACACACATATGCATAAAGGTTAAATGACTCTCTTGGCATTGGAACCAACCAAAGCTCGAATGGTAAGAGAGTGCGTGTATGAACATTTTTTTATATGCATATATATAATATATATTAACAAATTAATATGTAAGAACTCTTAGGGAGAAGAGGAACGTACAATGACTTCTGAGACCATTCTGGGTTGTTTGAGAGGCTTGAGAAGAACACGGAGGATACGTGTGAGGACGATGATCAAAGCGAACTCTAACAACAAAAGAGTGAATGAACTTTTCAATGGATTTTCACCGTAAAGTAAGCTGTAGAAGCCTGCCTGTCGAGTCTTTCCACATGAAATTATGATTGAAGGATAAACATTGTTGAAATCTATGGACACATTGCCGGCCTGAGCTTTCACGGACGCCTGAAATCTGTTTGAACCTCCATCCCAAGGAGTTGGGGGAAGGTAAAGTGGGAATTTTCTAACCATGCAAAGAAGTAACTGGAAACCCTAACCATGCAAATGTTGAGAGAGAGAGAGAGAGAGAGAGAGAGAGAGAGAGAGAGAGAAGGCTAAGAGGGGCAAGGACATGCGTTAATAAGGGATAAGAAGTTTTGACCATTTTTCAGATTTTCTTAGTTTGTGAGGTTGCCAACAAAAACAAATAGTTTGTGAGGATGTTGTTGATATTTCTTACCCATCACCCAAATATTTTGTATCGCCCCTATATCTCTTTTTCTTTTTCCCTTTTTTTATCGACATCACCCCTATATTTCTTTACGTGTTCCAATGTTACCTGTACTATTTTCTTTAAAAATTGATGTAAAAATGTTTCAATGACAAAATCATTTTTATGATTTTCTAGCATTAAAAAAAAATCGTGAGAGCCAATTAAGTTAATTTAAAAAGAATCCTATTTTTTAAATTATTGAAGAAAAAACTAACATTAAATCATGAAAGTAAGATCTTCATCAATGACAAAATTATAAGCTTAGCTAACATTAGCTAGGAGAGAAGCCAATCCCAATATTATAATCTATGATAAAAAAAAATTATTGGACGTGTGAAAATAAAATTCATTTTGGATTTCAATTATTTATTTATTTATTTACTTCAAACGTAAAATTTGAGTGAACAGAAAGGGTTCGAGCCCGAATGCAGTAAAATTAACATGAATGAAGGGTTCAAACTCAAGAAGTATTTCTTCACTCTCGTCCATTCAAGAAGCTAATGTTGCTGTTGATCATGGACTTGCTGCTGTGCAAGGAGATATATACTTTAATTTTTTAACGGCGACTTATTTTTTATTATTATTGTTTTTTCAATAAAATGAGTACATGATATGAAGCATCTCTACATGTAACAACATATAATACATCACTAAGTATATATTCAAATGAGTACTCATTTTATTCACTCACCTAAACTCTATTAATTCTACCTCAGCTGGTTTCAATTCCCTAATTCTCTTTCAAAGGCCATTTTTCGAAGCCTTAACCTAACTAGCAATACATACTCATCTAGTTTATGAAATATCAAACCCTAGTTAATTAGCAACACCACGAAGTTAACAAATCCTTCATCTTCTGAGTAGGGCTAGGGCTACATGCAAACCTTCCACTTGTACTATCTGACCCTTGCCCCCTCAAAATCTGCTGTTGTACCACTAACACAGAAGCAGTACAACAAAAATCAAGAGAGAGGAAGACCTGGTTTGGTACTGAGGTGATTCTGAAAAAAGCTGTTATCAAAAAAAGCTGGGAGCTGTTTTTGTGTTTGGTAAACACTCAGCTTCAGCTTTTTTTCACAGTTTTGGATGAAAAAAAGCCAAAAACAAGAAGCTGCAAAACCTAGCTTTGAAAAACCAGCTTTTTTCACATCTGTTTTACATAAAAGTTTACCAAACACTCTAATACTGCTTTTTTTTCTTTTCAAAAGCACTTTTACAAAAAAGTTTACCAAACACTCTGCTGCTGTATTTCACAGCTGCTTATTCTCACAGCACAGCAGAAGCAGCTTTTTTTTAAAGCACAGCAATACCAAACCAGCCCGAAATATAGTCCCCAATTATTCCCAACTCATCATTCTCACTCCAAAATGATAGCCCAGATATCAGCACAGGGTTGATCCCTCGTTTTCTCCCCACAATCCAAAGGTCATAATTATTTTCATTATCATCATTCATTGATTGAATGGCTGAGATTGTCTCATCCCCATTCCTCACCACCACCTCTCTATAAACCACCCTCTCATTCCTCTCATTCTTCACCCAAAACCATGTCACAACCCCGTCATCCAACTTCTTCTCCATCTCATCATCACCAGCAGAATTGTGCAAAAGAAACCGAATCACAGTCAGCAACACGTTGAATTTTCCGGCCATCCTATCTGCATAACTCAATGCCTCCCTAGAATCTGCTTCGCCCAAAAATAGCAAGACAAAATGTAGCTCAGTGTTCCTTATTGCCAGTTGGTTATGTATAACATGACCCTTGTCAACCAGAACTCCAATTGAGCAAGGTGCATGGGCTAACACATTTGAATTGACAGATCTAACCACATTCCTCACAATTTCTGTTAATTGTCCTCCAAGGGTATCCGAAAACTCCTTGTAAAAAGGCAAAATTACCAGTGTTGCCTTTTTCACAAGAGCTAGGTCACAAATGTCTTGGTAATAGATCTGTATGGTACTATAGCTGTGAAGGGATGGAGACTAACACACTCACCTTTGGTTTCTTGGTATTGTTTTAAGACATTGTGGATTGTGTGACAAACTGTGCTCTTCCTGCTTTTCATGGTCTTGGTAATAGATCTGTATGGTACTATGCTCTTCCTGCTTTTCATGGTCTATAAGCACAGGAGAAGCCCTGCCAACAAGTTCGATGATACATAGGACTAAGCAAAGTTCTGCGTCCGCTGGAGGAGTGTGCTGGATGATTCTCCTTTTATGGATCATGTATGGCCTTGTTGGGTCATAGAGGATGCTGATCAAGGGCGTGGATATTGCAGTCATTGTAGTGACGGTATCACCATCATTGTAAACCCTGGAATCGCCATTATCTGTGCATGTATGGTTGTACAGACACAAAAAAGCTAGCAAGTGAGTTCGGATGATTAGAAATATGTTTCATTTATGATTTTCTAGGAAAGGAAAAAATGCTAAACCCTAAATTCAAAAGTAACGCAGTTTGGATATAAGCACAATTCGGTCTGAGGGCTCTTCACAATTAAGCTCATCTAAACTCGATCATAGTTGAAAAACACAAAACTGATATAAGAAGTTGTTTTCTCTAGTTTGATTCTTTCGTGTTTCTTATTAACAGTAATAGCTTGTCATGGAGTATACTCATTAGGTGTAAATTAAATGTCTTGGCAACAAATCTAAGAACCTTTTTATGCAAGTAGTGGAAGTTTTCAGTCACATCTTTTTGCCATCTAATATAGCTGTTGATGTGTTGACTAACAATGTCATGTGATGCAACAAGGACAAATTAACTGCCATTTCACATGATCTTTATGCTTTTTATAAGACTGCCATTTCACATGATCTTTATGCTTTTTATAAGTCCATTTAACATTTCTTTCATATACATTCCAATGACGTACGTTTACCTTTTTGTCCATCCAATGGAGAAAAACCGCTATCTCCACGTGACCTTTTAGGATCATCATGAAGCTGAGCGTCACACATCTCTGAGTGGCAACTCAAAGAAGGCAGAAGTGATTAGTGTTCCAAGCAACTTAGCTACATATAGGCAGTCGCAGTGATGGCAAACAAGGGACTCAAGCTTGACCAACAAACATAGCTCATGGAATTCACATCCACATAAAGCCCAGCCATTGCGAAAGCAAATGGCATCAAAACATCCACTATAACCAATTCACTCCTCTCCACAATTGTTGATCCAAGCAGGAGGGCCATCCGGGATCGCCAAACCCAACCAGAACGCACCGTTTGCGATCGCCATCCCGGAGATGTCAGCCAAACATCCCATCACTAAAACCCCCAACGAAATCGCCAACACGTAGGTTTGGTCCCCTGGCTGCCCCTCTGGGGTGGTCCCAGCAACTCTCAACAAACTCCTTCAAATCACAAATACAATGAAGGCCAGAAAAACAACCAAAGAAATCAAGTACCATATCACAGCCAGATGGTTGCCCTCACCTTGCTTAGCTGCCTCAAATAAAATTATTATACACTCCAATCGCATCGCTGATCACCAATATCGACAATGCCAGCCGTCCAATCTCCGAGCTCAGAAGGTTAAGCTCTTTGAGGATGGAGTGGATGACCGGAAACAACGGTAGGGCCAAGCGGAGCAAATGAATCCAAGTGAAGAAATTCTAGCTAGTTCTTTGTCCATGGACTTGCGCAAACTGAATGCAACAATTGATATAAGTATTAAAGGGATGAGCATTCCCGCAAATGCTATGCACAATTGTTTCTTATTTGCTTTTTTCACTAGGGAAACGTCCATTTTCACTCCTGATAAGAAAAAAAAAAAAACTGAATCAATTAATCCAATATTTTTCACAATGAATTGTGAGTTTTTTGGGAATATAACTGAGGTAAATTTCTCGCTGCGGCCTAAAATTGACGGTCCAATGAATATACCTCCCTAAACAAAGTTAATCAAGTCAATTGGAATACCAAAATGATGAATATCGTACAACCTAGTCAAGAATATATGAACTTTATAATGAAAAATATACATATATATTATATATACACACACGTATATATAACGACGCTGGGCATTGGAACCAAAAATCGATTGCTTAGAGAGTGCGTGCATGAACGTTTTCTATATGCATATATATAATATAATATATATATATATATATGTGTGTGTGTGTGTGTGTGTGTTAACAAATTAATATGCAAGATCTTTTAGGAAGAAGAGGAACGTACAATGACTTCTGAGACAATTCTGGGTTGTTTGAGAGGCTTTAGAAGAACACGGATTATACGTGTGAGGACGATAATCAATGCGAACTCTAACAACAGAAGTGTGAATGAACTTTTCAACGGATTTTCACCGTAAAGTAAGCTGAGGGAGCCTGCCTCTCGAGCCTTTCCACATGAAATTATAGTTGAAGGGTAGACATTGTTGAGATCTATGGTCACATTGCCGGCCTGAGCTTTCACGGACGCCTGAAATCTGTTCGAACTTCCATCCCAAGGGGTTGGGGCATGGGAAAGTGGGAATTTCCTAACCATGCAATGAAGTAACTGGAAACCCTAACCATGCAAATGTTGAGAGAGAGAGAGAGAGAGAGAGAGAGAAGGGGGCGTTTATAAGGGATCAACAAAAAAAAATAGTTTGTGAGGATATTGTTGATATTTCTTACCCATCACCCAAATATTTTGTATCGCCCCTGGTATCTCTTTTTCTTTTTCTTTTTTTTTTTGTCGAAATCACCCCTATATTTCTTTACTGTTTCAATGTTACCTGTACTATTTTATTTAAAAATTGATGTAAAAACGTTTCAGTGACAAAATCATTTTTATGATTTTTCTAGCATTAAAAAATCGTGAGAGCTAATTAAGTTAATTTAAAAA